AACAGTCATTCTAGTCCGCACTTCATTTTTTGTCTCTCCAATATACAATTCCTCACAATTTGAACATATGAGGGAATAAATGACGTTTGAACTTTTACAAGACATGTTTTGTTTAACTGTGAAATGCTTTCCTTTTTTAAAACAAATTACTTAATATATGTATGTACTTGTCGGTTATAATAGCTCAAAGAACTGGTTTTTTTGTGACCTGCCGAATTAACTTGAATAAAGCTTTTGATTGATTTGATTTGATTGCAACATCGGATTTGAGGCTCGTATTGCACAATATTTAGTTTTCTGTGTAGTGTCTTTTCGGTTGTTTTTTGTATGCCATGATATTGTGTTTTTCCTTCGACTTATAGTTTGGATTGCCCCTTTGTAATCATCTCTCTCTCTATTTCTTTACTCGTATATATTGTTTAAATGTGACACGATTGAACGTTCAGAGGTGTTCTTCAACGATGTACAGGCAAGGCCGTAACTACCATTGAGGCAATTGCCTAACTAAAATTTCGACACTGATTTTTTTTTGTGTATTTGTTTATGGTGATTAAATACGAAATATAGCCATTTTGTTTTATCTGTCTCAACCTTAATTTCTATAACTTGTCATCATTCCTTTTAAATTATTCTTCCCGGATATAACTCAGCATCTCAACGGGTGATGTTTTCGATTACATTAAGGTTCATGTGGACCCTTTGGCTAAAATGGCTGCATTTTCACCTCAAAATTTACTCTGAGTACAGACAAACCTGTGAATCTGTAAAAGTTTTAAGGCATAGCATGCCCTAGATAAATAAAATTCAAATATATTTTATGTTTTAGAAAATTAAAAACTTAACAGGATTTTGCAGTGCACTTTTTTCATTCTTCAAGAAGGTGTCAAAATAAACTAAATTGGGAAAGAGGTTTGAGAACATCCCCACAGGTACCCTTACCAAAAAATAAGCCCTGTTTGCAGCAAACATTGCCGCAAGCTTGCAGAAAACATTTGCTGCAAACTTGCCGCAACCATTTTACCATGCAAATGAAGGTTGCGGCAAGCTTGCTGCAAACATAATTATGCAAATTAGATTTGCCGCAAGCATGCGGCAATTGTTTGTGGCAAACTTGCAGGAACTACACATATACCAATGTCATGTGTGTAGACACATTCAATTTATCTCTTCAAATTACACAGCAACATCTTTAAAAAGAATTCCTACCTGTATACAAACAGTCATTGAAAGAATTCTTGCAAACTTAAAGATTTAAGGAAATACATACATGCATTTGAGTTTTGAAAAAGGGGACAGGGGTCATTCTCAAATGACATCATAATTCATATACCTGTATTTAGAAATGAAAAAGGATAAATCTCAAATGTGTATTGGGTATAAAGCTAGGTAATAATTGCATAACAGAATTGAACTTAATTATTAATAAACAAGGCACAGTACATCAGTTACAAAATTCAAACTTATAATAGCTAATGTTTTTTTTTTCAAACACACATATATATAGTTGCTTACGATGGTGACATTAATTATTTTATTAAAACGTGCAGTTCTATGAATTATTTGTACTTACAAAATTACATATTAAGTATCCTATATTATTGAACCAAAATGCCTCTTTGATCTCTTATATGTGAAATGCATTTTCCAAACACAATCAACATGACCTAGCCACAATTTCAAATTGTTAGCTTCCAGGAAGTACCAACTAGGTATGCCCAGTCAATATTGTGTAATTCTTGCAATGTTCTGGCAAACATATAGAATGGTCAAAGTTTTCTGCAATCTTGCGGCAAACATATAGAATGGTCAAAGTTTTCTGCAATCTTGGGGCAAGTTAACATTCTTTATTATCTTAACTTTCTGGCAATCTTATGGCAAACATTGATGTTTCTGCAAATTTGCCGCAAGCTTGCAGCTAGCGGCCAACATCTGCAAACACTATTTTCTGTGTTCCTGCAAACTTTTTGTTTGCCGCAAGCTTGCAGCAAGTCTGCTGCAAGTTTGCGGCAAACAATTTAGTTCCATAAGGGTAATAAATGAAGTGAACTGTATTGATTGACATGGACAATAGATGGACAATAGATACCTGACAATAATCGGTGATTTAAACTGTGTACCTGAGTGGACCATATCAAGTGAAACTTAACTGTTTGTTAATTTTATCATCTTCTGCAGGGACGAAAAAAAGTGCACTGCAAAATCCAGTTAAGTTTTAAATTTTCTAAAACATACATTGCATTTAAATTTTATCTATCTAGAGCATGCTATGCCTTAAAACTTTTCCAGATGTACAGGTTTGTCTGTACTCAAAGTAAATTTCGAGGTGAAAACTCAGCCATTTTAGCCAAAGGGTCCACATGAACCTTAACCTAGTAACAGTAATCATAGGGATCTCTGGTTAAAAACAGACTCTTGCAGAAAAAGGAAAAGCGATACTGCAGGTGAGGAAGGAATAATTCTAGTAAACTAACTGATGTTGTTTGTGATCACAACAGGGGATAAGAGTCCGAGTATTGAATATAAATACATTGGAACTAATCCAAAAACTATAAATAGACTGACCAATCAAGTACTGGGCACCGCACGGGAGCAGTGAGTCCTGTCTGCGTATTCATTTCCCCGTTTTCCCCAAATTTATTTGTTCTCTTTACAGATAAACCAAATATAAATAATATGAAACCTGCATGGATTAGTTTTTATCCATGTTTCTTTTACCTTAAAATTTGAAAGAACATCCCGTAATCCAATTTAACATTATTGTGGGACGGTAGTGTAAGCTGCAAACGTACTTTCATTCCACCGTGTATTTATTCCGGGTAACTGTATTTCACTAGAGAATATTAGTTGTAAATAGTGTGAAAGCGTCAATCTTGATATCTTTGTTTTGTTTATATTGGACAGGTACCGTTTATTGTTTACATAAATCAATGGGTTAAAATTAGAATGATTTTCAAGGAACCAATTTAATTAATCTGAATCAACCCAGCGAATAATATTGATGATAATGGGGATATTTTTATAACTCACAATACTTTTATCAATAATCAGGAATTGAACTTGATATAAACCAAAGCACAGATTTGTTCTTACCAAAAGTTTCATCACAGAAGCATCCTTAGATATTGAAATAGAAAATATGATTTTATCTCCAAGTCGACCAAAACGCAAATTCACAGAAAAACTTCGGCAATCCAGTTTATATGAATATTAGAATTAGTGACAATTTAAAAGCATATGATTTTATGGATTTGCGTAATAAAATTATTTAATTCTAATTTATTAATAAGCATTATTTTGTAATCCTGTGGTCAAAATGAGTACTAAAACACTTCATTAATGTATGGACTTAAAACACTAGTGTTATCAATTCCGGTTCAAAATAACTAGTGTAATCATTCCTAGTACAATAGCACTAGTGTAATCATTCCTGGTTCAAAAACACTAGTGTGAACATTCCTTGGATGAAAAACACTTGTTTACCTTGTAAATTTTTTACATAAATCAACAATGCAAGTTTTCAAATACCCCCCAAAAATACCAAGCCCATTTTTTTTATATATATATATTTCCCAATCAAAAACCCCTCTTTAGAATCTTGTGATGAGTGGTGGATATTTTACACTGGACCCGGATAAAAAAACCTAGTGATTTTTTATTGGTAGATAAAAATCACTAGGAATTTTCATTCTCCGGATAAAGTACACTGGCGGAATCAAACCACTGTTACAGTAGGACCCGCTTTAAAACGGGACTTTTGTGTTTTCTTATTCGGGACTACGTACTACGTAATTTCGTGTTTTTTTATTCGGAAGTTCGGGATCGGACGAACAGTTCTTCCTCACTAAAATAATATGCCTAGTTACGGCCTTGACAGGGATGTTTGTCGGACAGAAATTCATTGGATTCTATTTTCCTAGTCAAAGGGAGACAACTCTAGCATTGAGTTTTGTAACGATTTGCAAATCTACAGTATAACAATGGCTTTCACATGGATTGCATGTATATCAATATGTTTTATTGTAATGTTGCGTCGCTTGTTTGAAAGTCTGAAGTTTAATTCTATAATGCAAACTTGATTTATTCAAAAGATAGTGGATATATGGAAATGTTGTGTTAACGATAGATACATTTGATAGTTTATGTGTAATTCATAATATGTATTCACAACGTTGCATACATTGAACATTTAAAGGCTCAATATATGGTAAAACAACTGTCAAGGTTAAAAGATGATACGTAAACAGTTGCTTTTTTTTAAGTGGGGTTATTGATTTCGTGTCATGGATGGATACCCCATTATGTCCCCATATTCTTTGTTTTCTATTATTTACTCCCTGATTGATTGTTGCTTGTTTAACGACTTCATTTTCAGACTTTATTTCCCATTGTTGTGATCATGACAAATAAATAAAGGAACTAAATAAGCAGAAAAAAATGAAGGGTTCGTGTGCTTGTTTTCGAGATATAAGCCATTTAAAATTTGGCGGGAAATAATTCTCTCTAGATTTTTCCTACATTTAACATTGGCACCTTTTTTCTTTCAAATATGGCTTTTGAAACTACATGTAATAAAATTATGAAAAGAAAAGTAGGGGTTAGCGGGCAAAATTTTTGAATGGTACTACATGGATAAAACCAGAGGATTCCGAATATCTGGCAAAAATTCAAAAACAAGAGGAGCAAACTTCCTTAACCTACCCCATCGGTATTCACCAACGTATAGCCCTTGTTCACAGTGGATTCATTTATTTTCGTGGGTTCCAATTTTCCTGGATTAAAAAGAAATTGCATATAGATTCTCCTGGATATTTGATTTCGTGATTTTACCAGACTACATACAAGCCTATAGACATTTTTGAATTCGTTGAACAATGAATTTCGAGGTTCGCCATTACCCTCGAAATCCACAAAATTGGTATCCCATGAATAATAATAAATCCCCCTATATTACATGTATAATCAGATAATGGAAATGGTTTATTTTTTCTAAATATTCATACCTGCACTTTTCCCTGTTCTTATGTTGCACTACATAGTTATAAGCTCCATACATGCAGCTTGTGAACGTCGCTAAAAGTGAATTATCATCGTTGCCACATTCTATCATCTTTCTAAAAACATCTGTAAAGAACCATATATGCACATTCACCTGGCAAGAATATTAAACTTATTTGATCAGATGAAAAATCAATGATAAAGTTTGCAATAAAATCAACGTCACGAGATACGCATTTCGACAATAAATTTATTGGCAGTGGCTATTTTGCCGGCTCCGGAAAAAATAGCGATTTATATATGAAATTAATTTTTTTATTGAAACGAACTCAGCGGTTGATGACGGTCTGGCGATAGAGGCGGAACACGTAGAAACCCGCCATGAAATGGTTTCAAGTTCATGTCTATACAAACTGGTGTAAATGAAATTAATAAAAAAAAAAATTGTACAGACGATGCATGGTAATCTATTTTTTAGAGATTTTGTATCAAACTGTATGTTTCTATATTTTTCATATTCTTAATTAATACACTGGAAATCTGAATGAAGACCGGCATAATAGCAAAACTCTATATTAATCGCTATTTTGTAGGTGCCGGCAAAATAGCACTAAGGAGGCTATTTAGTCAGAGCCGGTAAAATAGCACCTAAGAGGCTATTTTGCCGCAGCTGGTAAAATAGCCACTGCCTAAATTTATCTTCAGTGATAATCGAGACCAAAATCTTTGAACGCCAAAAAACCTAATGCTAAAGTTGTAATTGGCAAATTCGATAAATGTTCTACTTACATATTTATAACCAGATTATTAATATATATAGCAGGAAAATAGAAAAATAGCGTTAACTCTATTTTCTACATCATTTACGGTCTCTGTTGGAAAGTTGTCCCATTGGCAATCGTACCACATCTTCTTATTTTTACAGGAAGACGAGATTTCAGACTTTTGCTGGACATGGTGCAAGTATAATAGTTAACACTACTGACTAACTGCTCATTTCCAAAATGTTTTTCTCGGTCTTACAAGCAACATGCAATAAATGTTGAACTTAAAAAACAACCTGCATTGATAAAACATACAGCCTATGTCTTCAACATAACAATGAAGAAGATGTTTTATTTCCATTAAATGGGCTCACAAAGAGCATAATACAATATAAAAAAATAACAGTTTAACATATTGATCCTTTTTAGTGGTTCTCACGTAGAAGTTCAAAAAGTGAAAAGTTTACAGACGTCGGACGCCAAATGTAGTACATCCGATATGAAATCTTTCTAACATATGCCTCAACAGAGGGGAAAAATTAACAGCATGATATATTTTTATAATGACGATAAAAAAAATCAACAAAACATAATGAACACTGTTTGGAAAAATTTGTAAAAACATTTGTAAAGTAACTTTCTAAATTATGCTGGAAACTTTAAAAATGCATTTATTTGAACATTTTTTATTTTTTTTTTTTTTATTTTACATAATATATTATCCTGTATAGTAATAATCGTTTTGTACTCTACTTTAATTGTAATGTTTTTTTTCACTTAAACGTAGCATTGAGTTGTATTTTCCGGAATTTGCCGAGTATCGCCGGAATGCCATGCGATAACGTTACGGAAAGGCATGTGATAATAATCGAAGCATGTGATAAATTTTTCTTATCATATACTTGTATAAAATATTACTAAAATTTTACTGTTCAATAACACTTAAAAATATTTTAAAATGCTAGGTAATGATTACTAGGTTTATTGACCAGCGACTGTTTTCACAAAAAATCTTACGATTAAAATTGATCGTAAGTTATACTGAAATGTGTATTACTTACGAGTATTTTTACTCTTAAGATTTTTTGTGAAAAGAGTCGCAGATTCCTAAGAATTTCCTCAGCGGGCTGATAAAGGAACCTTTATTGACTGCTTCCGGAATGTTATCACATGCCTTTCCGTTAATTTCCGTGACGTTTATCACATGCAACTTCGTGCATTTCCGGAAATTTGTTCGAAAACGACAACACAGTGCGGAAAACCGCAAGTGATTTAAGACTTTTCACAAAATGGTTGAGGAGCAAATTTCAAACTAAGAACATGATAATTGTTGTGACATGATAAATAAAATGCTTGTAATATCAATAAAAACAATTAAAGTTAAGAAATTTGTATTTGGGTTTCTGTAAATTATTATCTAAAATTCATAGAAAGACAAAATTTTAATTAATAGTTATTGTCTGTATTTCTTCTGCTAAGTATATGATAAAAAGATCATTACATGTCATTTTTCATATCAGACCCTTTATCGGCCCTCGTTCATGATATCAGCCCTTAAGCCTGCGGCTCTTGAGCTGATATCATGACCTAAGGCCGATAAAGGGTCTGATATGAAAAATGCCATGTAATAATCTATACATATCAGCCCGCTAAACACCATCTCGGAAAAATATGGAATTCGCGTAAATTCAATGCTGTTATCATACTGTAAAAGTTATATGTTATTTGCTATAAGTATATGATAATTGTATATATATACACATAAAGAGGTGTGACACTGATATGATTGCCAATGAGACAATTATCCAACCAAATTTAAATGAAGTGGATGTAAGCAATTATCAACAATGATAAAAAAAAACCCATAGGGTATAGTCGGCTATAAAAGGCCCCGACATGAAAAATATAAAACAATTTTATTAAGAAAACTAACAGCCTAATTTATAACAAAACAATTTACGAAAAACAAATATGACAGACATGAACCAACGACAACCACTGAACTACAGGCTCTTGACTTGGGAAAGACACATAAAGAATGTGGCGGAGTTAAACATGTTTGTGAGTGCTCAACCCTCCCCTAACCTGGAACAGTGGTGTTACAGAACAACATAAGAACAAACTATAAAAATCAGTTGAAAATGGCTTAACTCATCAGATCAATACAAATCAGAAAAAGATCTAACAAAAACATAGACCGCAAGGTATTTATACATCCCTAACAACAAAAGACACAAAGTACGGATCTGAGAGTACTTGCAGTTACTGGCAGCTAGTTCATAGCCAATAACAACTAATAAAAGAAATCATGTATCTAAGACTAATATATCAATCAGTACACATCCAACATCCAATGGATTTAGTGTAAAGACGTCATTAACAGTATATATATATATATATATACTGTTAATGACGTCTTAACACTAATATATGTTACAGGCATTTTCTAAACTGCCTGTAAGATTCAGACATTTTACATATTGACTAATTTTTTCAGACATTTTACAAAATGCCTGGAAAAATTGAAAGGCGCGTTTTACTAAATGCCTGAAATTATCTTATGGAATGAAATATTTACAAAAACTGAGCAATTGACAATATCGAACAACAGAATAGTTCTATCTTTGATAATACTGCATTTAAAGCCTGCAAGAGTTTTAATGATTAAAAATAAATTCTACTCAATTATTTGAAATTCCCACAAGCACCGAACTGGACAGTTATTTGTTATTCACGTTTGAATGGCAGGATCTGCTACACATTTGTCCTAAATTTATTTTGGACTACAACCACATGTGGTGAAACCCGGACCATCACCCATTCAGATGTGTTAATAATTTTTTTCTGATAAAACACTTAACGTTCGACCAACATAGGGTTCGCAAAAAGCACACACATGAATATTTCTTTTTTATGTGTTCCCAACATATTCAAAGTCACATTACTATGATTAGGGTTGACTGACATGATTTAGCTTATCAGAGCATGAAGCAGATATACGCATGTCGGCAGATTCTTCCACAGCAGGAGACGCTTACCCTGTCAATGCACCTTTATTTGTCTTTTCTTGATCCATTTTCAAGGTTTTAACAACGGCTAATTACTGTCGTATTAAGGTAGATGGGGTGTCTAAATTATAATCCATAGAATTTTTTAATAATTTGTCAAAATGTAGTTTATATAAAATTATCATGCTTTTTTAAAAAAAATAATAAAAAGAATGGGTCACGGGGCTTATTTTAAAACTATAGGTTGTGCAAAATTGATAGATTTTGTATAGATTATGCATGGAAAACGCAATTTTCTGCCATAAAACGAAAACTACACCATAAAATTTCGAGATAAAAATGAGAAGATAGCTCTAATATTATACTTTCAGATAAGAAAAAGAAAAAATGGGGTCACGGGACCCGTTTATTTGCTACATAATAAAATAGGTAAATTCCTAACACATTCTATTGTAAAAGTAACTTTATCTGAATTATCTGCCCTTACATTTGAGTTGCCTCCCCTTATGTGGCAAAGTTGGAAAATTGAATCAAACAAAAGTATTCTGTTTTTTGTAAAATACATCTATAAATATAATAAAACATGTCATTTTCTATATTAAAATGAAAATTCTTACACATGAATTACCCACTACTCTCAAAATTTGCACATTTTATTAAAGATCTAGACCGATTATTTTCTGGTATTTCAAAATCCAAGATGGAGGAAGACACCCTATCTACCTTAATTCATCAGATTGTTAAGATCCAAGAATTCCCTTGAGGCAGTGAAGATGAAGATATTCATATTTTTGCTTCTGAAACAACCAAGCACGGCCTTGTATTGCAAAACCCATCCTATATAGGCAGGAATCCATTTGGCTGTGCAGGATTTATAAATTTGTGGCAATTTGTCTGTCCCTATCCAACTTTCTTTCATCTCAAGTGGCACTCAACATTTATGCTGTCCTTTATCCGGGCCAATCATTGCAGAAATATTCTCTTTGACTTATTATCAGTTTGTTCTCGTCTTAAATATGTATTAGATATTTGCTACTGAATGCAAATTAACAAACATCAAACAACCATCAGTCAATATAAAATAATGCTTCTTTTTCTCTGATTCATATAACACATTTCTGTTTTGAATCTAAATTTTCTAAAAATTTGTTTGTAATCTTTGTTCTATTGTATGAGCAATTGATCCTTCTGCTATCTTGACAAGAAAATCATAAAATTACTGACTGAAATACAGAATGAGTTAATATTTCGCGTAGTTTCACTAAGAAGAATACAAACTGTAGCTGGTTTTGAAGAATAATATAATTTCTACTGCAATTATGTTGTATCAATGTTTCTGATTGGATGACAATAAGCGTAAAATTCTCTATCTCCCTGTCTGTAACTAAAGAAGCCGACATTTTGAAGAAGATTTCTAGGTGCAAAATGTGAGTTTTTTGCTTATTATTAGAGAAATTACATATCAATACATTCTGATATTCATTGATACTACATAATTGCAGTAGAAATTATATTAAATACCGTTTCGATCCCTAACATCACTGAAGAGACATTAATTGTCGAAATCCGGATATGGTGTACTAATTTTTGCACCTTTTGTTAGCGGTATACCATCTTTTCCGCAAGTTTATTGTTTTCTGTTTGGTATTAAATTAATAATTTTAAAAGATCCATTTTGTAACATCTTGTGATCCGTTTTTTTTGGGCAATCGCCAATGGCAGTCAGCAGGGTTTAAGAACATCTGTTGTTCGACCTGCTAGTCAAATGCGTTTTGTTAAAATAAACCATTTCACTTTTTTGGTCTTTTGGAGAATGTTGTTTGTGCTGTATTTAGACCCCTCTATCAAGAAATTTGCTTTGCATGCACATATATAAAAATTGCGGTTTTTATCCAACGCAATCATAGGTCTGAACGTTGTTTTCAATTAAGACTTGTTTATATATATATTAATTTTGTTTGCGGTATACCATCTTTTCCGCAAGTTTATTGTTTTCTGTTTAGTATTAAATTTATAATTAAGATCCATTTATTACATCGGTGATCCGTTTATTTGGCAATCGCCAATGGCAGTCAGCAGGCTTTAAGAACATTTGTTGTTCGACCTGTTAGTCTAATGCATTTTGTTAGAATATACTTTTTCTCTTTCTTGGGTCTTTTGGAAAATGTTGTTTGTGCTGTATTTAGACCCCTCTAACAAGAAATTTGTTTTGCATGCACACGTATAAAAATTGCGGTTTTTATCCAACGCAATCATAGGTTTGAACGTTGTTTTCAATTTAGACTTGTACATTAGTATTGCATATATATTTGAAAATTTTAATTTTAAAAAATCATCATGCGTGCGTGTTTATGGTCCGTCAGTAAATATATTTCACCCACAACTTTGAATACTTCTTATATGTTTTGCAATTTGCATAACTACAAACGAAGTTGATTTATCCGTTAGAATTTTTCCCATGGTGTTTTTCGTAACTATGTAACCTATGTAAACTTAAACATATGCCGATTTCACTGTGCTTTATTTATGCGCAACACTGTAATACATATATGAATAAATATAACCCCGAGGTTCTAAAAAAGTTGAACTGAAAGAAAAAAAATCGACAAAAGTTTGGAATGAGAATTAAAATGATTAACACATATGTTCTAGAGATTATTGGTGTGTGAATTAAGCCGCTGACCCACATACTATACCGTACAGAGTGTAGTCATCAATTACGGTTGCATAGCTGCCGCTTGGCACGATAGGCACGTGCCTACACATTGTTTCAATATATATATATATATATATATATATATATATATATATATTCATAATTACTCTAAATATCAGCACAGCAATGATAAATCTGCAAATTTGCGGAGGCAAATTTTTGTTCTTCCCTCGCAGGGATTCGAACTCATATATGTGAAAAAGCAATTTGTGTTACCCTGAGAGTTTTCTTACTTAAAAATTTTCATGAACTTAACCATAAATGGCTTTATTCATCTTAATTTCAAATTGTTGGATTGCTGTCAGAATAATGTGTCCATTTAGACAAAGTAACATTCATTCTCCATTTTGGCGGGTGTGTGAGTACACATGTTTCCGGCTTGTCAATTTTAGTACAAAGAACGATTTGTACACAAGATACACCAATGATGGCCTAAACTATAACAAACTTGCATAGACTTACCTGGTGTTAAATGGTCACAAAATGCCGAGGTTAAATTTTGATATGCCTGGTGTACCCCAATCAGGTGTGGTTCTATATTCATACAAGCTCTTCGCACCTGACCTTTTCTAGCCTTCATGCAAGAAGACACACTTTTAAAGTAACTTAAAGTAAAAAGCATAATTATAAACCAATTAATACATGTTTTATAAGATAAACAAATTGAAATATTTTGCATTAGAAAAAATATTAAAGTGCAGATACAAAATGATCAAACTGATATTTCTTTGAAATTTTGACATTATTATTTAATCTCGAAATGGGCAAAAGACAAATATACCTTCGTCTTATATACATATAACAAGATCTGGTATGAGTGCTAATGAGACAACTCTCCATCCAAGTCACAATTTGTAAAAGTAAACCTTTATAGGTCAAAGTATATGTGGTTCACTTTTTTGGGGTTGTTGTCTCATTCAGTCATTGACACACACCTCACATCTCTTATTTTTTAATCTAATCTTTTTCTTTTAAGATGGCTAAAACATGTTGATATTAGTATTATTACAAATGCATAAATACTCTTAAAGTGAGTCTTTATATTAACCAATCTGGTTTTTTTAGGCTTAGAGTTAATTCAATGGCACTCATTGAAAAACTCGATTCATACTCATCTATTTACAATATTATGTTTGAACGGGCAATATTAAAGGAACAACCGATTCATTTCTATTGGCGATTTTCTTAAATTCTGTTTAAAGCAAGGATTACTATCCAAATTATCCTTGTTTCAAGGTACATGTATTTCATGATTTTGGGCACAAAATTTGATGAAAAAATAGGACGTCACTGTAGCAACTTCAGTTTCGTGGGTTTTTTATTTTGCCCGAAAGCGAAAATGATTTGGTTAAACAATTTGAAATTTCAAATAATCACTTAGTATCGAACCCCTTTTCGTTGTTTTTTAAAAAGGTGAACAGTATCGACTAAGCAAAAAAGATGGTGAATCGTTGAGTAAATCCAGATAGAGGTATGTCTGTTACACAACTTGAAAATGCTAATAGATACCGACGCGTAATGGAGACAAATGCCTCACTTTTGAAACGATGACAACACTTGAAAAACATTTTTTGTGCAAAATTATGAACATTTTTTTAATAAATTACTTTAGATGGGTTCTTTGAAGAGAAAAATAGAAGAAAAGGAAAACTTATGAGGAAAACAAAGTTATATGTTGTCTTTCTATGGTGTGATGTTACACTATTGTTTCAGAAAAAGGGTGAAGGTTTGGTACCATTAAAACGTTTAAACCCGCTGCATTTGTTTGCATCTGTCCTAAGTCAGGAATCTGATGTTCAGTAGTTGTCGTTTGTTGATGTGGTTCATAAGTGTTTCTCGTTTCTCGTTTTTTATATAGATTAGACCGTTGGTTTTCCCGTTTGAATGGTTTTACACTAGTAATTTTTTGGGGCCCTTTATAGCTTACTGTTCGGTGTGAGCCAAGGCTCCGTGTTGAAGACCGTACTGTGACCTATAATGGTTTACTTTTATAAATTTTGACTTGGATGGAGAGTTGTCTCATTGGCACTCATACCACATCTTCTTATATCTATATTCTAGCAATCTTCACCTCTGATAAAAACAAGATGGTTTAATTTTATAAATTGTGACTTGGGTGGAGAGTTGTCTCATTGGCACTCATACCTCATCTTCTTATATCTAAGATAGTCTAAAAAAAATGCCACGGCGAAATTTTAGTTTGATAGTCTGGATATTCTGACAAAACTGCAACAATTGACTTTCTTATAATATATAGTAACCACTGCATAATGTTGTGACCACTGCATCATGTTGTAACCACTGCATAATGTTGTAACCACTGCATCATGTTGTGACCACTGCATAGAATGATGTGAAAACTGTATGTTTTCATGAATGTATACAATGTTGTTACCACTGCATATAATAATGTGACCACTGCATATAATGTTGTTACCACTGCATATAATGTAGTGACCACTGCATATTATAATGTTGTCATGACTGTATATAATGTTGTTACCACTGCATATAATGGTGTGACCACTGCATATAAAGGTGTTACCACTGCATATAATGGTGTGACCACTGCATATAATGTTGTGACCACTGCATATAATGCTGTCACGGCTACATTACATGTTATTCAGGTCTCAGACAAGGTATACTAATGTGACATTCCCGGCTTAAAGTTAATATTCCCTGAGCCGAAGAACTAGTTAAACATTCATCATGCAGTTTATATTCAAATATAAAGAGCTCCAGATAAGCTGCGTATTTGCGTGATTACGCAATACAAATAATTAAAAACCCAATGCAATTGCCCATTGCAGGGTTCAATAACCCAATTAATTCAAAGGAAAACCCAATGATATGCCAAAACCATGAGTTCTTAACGCTTTTATTCGCTATCGTTTGCGTTATTTACCCTTATCTCAGATTACAGTCGTCGCGTAAATCTATTTTTATAATATTTATAATTGGAAATGTCCTTTCGTTCTTAAAATAGAGCCCTGCATCAAGTAGCTGTAATGGGTCCCTGTTGGAATTTTCCGTTGCTCAAAAGGTACACGTGTTTATGAAAACATTTCGATCTTCTCGGCGTTTATCAAATTAGCGTGTGACATGCTGACATATTTTTTCGAATTGCTCGGGACTTATCACAACATAAAATGAATTAAAACGAAAGTAAATGTCCGATAAAAATATTGAATAGAAGCATGTTTTCGGCTTCTTTTTGATAGCTGAGGGAAAGTTATGATGATAACAACACTCAGCTAGTGATTTTAGGAAGCGTCCATTGAACGCACGGGCGTGTTTGCGTACCTTAACGAGAACATTGCTAAAGAACGATAAACACGGCGTTTCGTCAAAAACGAAATCAGTTGGAAAAAGTGAAAGGCCAAATCAATTATGACATGATATGTAGTTGGAAAGCATCGGAAACCAAAACTTCTGATAAGGGACAACTTAACCCAGATTTATGTAAATTGAATTAAACAAAAACAGTTTATATATTATTTTTTTTTCATTTTAGTTGATGAATGAAATCAATACACATATCCGTTTTTTACGTCAAATTATGCAGCTTGACACTTTCTTTGTTTTGGTCTAATTGTTCTGGATGCTTAAGATAGTTGTCTTATTGGCAAGTGCAGTATAACATTGTCATTTATTTACTTGATGTTGCAGAATTATTTGTAAATTTAAGTTGAATGTGGTCTCCATCATTAAACCACCCTATAAATCTCAAGGTTTTGGGGTATATCTTAAATCTGGGAACTACTTTTTATTTTTATTAAAAAGTAGATCTGACAAATAGGTGAAAGGACTGGCAAAACTTTCTTACAGCACCTAATTGTCACATTTATTACATAAAAATCTAAACACTTAGCAACACCTACCCCAACTATAAACTGTAGGGTGATCATATGGGATCTAGAAAGGCAATTAGTTACTGTCCAACTAGTGACACCAGCTGCAGTTTACATAAGTTTTGAGAAAATACAAAACTGACAGAACGTTTAAAACGGGACACAAATTAAACGTACAATTGCTCGTCAGTGAATAAACCAAATAAATCAGCTAAGCACATATACAAAGAAAGAAACACATTTAAGATGGAAACACATCTGGGGTTGATATAATGTGATTATAACATGCCTAAATATTCAATATTGTGTTGATGAAAAAACCCAATACATTAAGGAGCTTGGTGGTGAAAAACCCAATTTGATATTTGCTTGAGGGGTGAATTGGAATTGATAATGCAATTTAAAAACTTTATCACCCAATTACATAAAAAAATGGTGGGTAAAAACCCCAATTTGTGAATTCTTATCTGGAGCTCTGAATTCATTATATGTTTATTCAGTGTTTCTTTAAAATATTTTGAGTAATTCTTTTAAATGCAAGTTTTTCATCTTGACATTTTTTTGTTTTCGTTATTTTTCCAATAAAGTTTTTAGATTTCATGAACATGTATAATGTTTGTATGTTCGTGACTTTTTTTTTACAACCGAAATATTGAAAAACTCAACCCTTAACCTGATATGTTCCGCATACTCGAAGGATTTTGTAATTTGCTGTGAAAAAAAATTCTATCGTGTATGCAATAATTTGTAATAACACTTTAAGACATTGATTAAGTATTTGATGTGTAAATCGCGTGATTTTAAATTAAAAACGTATTATTGGCGGATTCACGTCATTATAATCCTTATGTGAGCCTCTCAGTTGGAAAGCAGGTAACTGTTCGACCCCAAGTCCATCAGACTCTATAGAGTCACGTGACCGTGAAAATTCAGTAAAACTACGGATGAGACAAACCTCACTTTTTCTCACTAAAATACCACTGTCGTGGTAAAAACTTATTGATCAAAATAATCTTGAATATACATAGTTTTAACTCGTCAAAACTTACACATCAACTCAAAGTCCTTTATTCTTTATTTTATCTTCAAACTTGAAGTTTGTCGGTGAAAATTGTCAAGGCTCCTGATCGAAAAATCTAAATATTTTCGAGGAAACTAAAAATGATGGGCTGAATTTAAATTTAATAAAGCATCTCATTAAGAAAAACACTCGATATGAATATCTAGGCAATACAGTTTTGGATACGCAAACGTCAAGTTATGTTCAACACGAAGCGGTGGTTTTTTTACCGATTTGTGCAAGTGGTTATCTCTCCTTGATATCATCAGTCAAAAATAAAAACCCACCAAAATGAATAAAAAGGAGTTTATTTTACAAAAATCAAGAATAAAATAAAAGAAAGTCGATTAACAACTATGTTATTATAATCTTAAGAAGAGATAAAATATATAATTGGTCACAAAAATAGCTTGTTAATTTTAATGCCAAAAAAACTGAGTCTATGATTATTTCTAGGAAAAAAACTAAGTTGTACCACCCCCCTTTAAAAATGAATAACCAAGAACTGAAAATAGTCGACAATCACAAACATCTTGGTGTTTATTTTTCTAATTATGGATTTTGGAAAGACCACATCGAATACATAATGAAAAAATCTTATTTAAGGGTTAATATCCTACGAAAAGTTAGAAACGTTTTCGATCGGTTCACTCTGGAAAAACTATATATGTCTTTTATACGGCCAATTCTT